TCCGCACTACTTTTCTGCAGTTGAAGACTATCATGCCTGTTTAATGAAAAACTGGCTGGTTTTGGCTACCTTTCGGAGCAAACAAAAAGATCCCCAAATCACACTGCCTGTATGAACAAACAAACTTTGTACAACCAGCTTACGTGGAGAAGATTCTATATTCTATGCCATTAGACTCGTGACATCCATGTACTGAGTCACCACGTTAAGAAAGCCCAAGCAACTACGCATTGGCCCCCGGGGTGCCCATCTTCATGAAGGCCCGAATGAAAGACCCAAGCCTACATGAACCATCACAAATAAAGTCCTACAAATGAAGACTCGGGCCTGTTTCGATGAAAGCCCACAGAAGGGCCAAAGCACAACAAGCCTACCCCATCATCAAAGCAAGCCCAAGCCCATGCAAGAAGGGCCTCATTTATAGGAAGCCCGCTGAGCCTTCATCAGTCTTCAATGTATGGAAGACTACTTATTTTGTATTAGTGATAGCGGAAGTACACATGAATCGGGAAGCGATGTGGGTCGGGATTATAAATTTTTCCATTTTCATCCATTGAATAATATTTAATTACTTAAAAAGTCTCTTTTAAATTGTCAAGTTGCAAATAGTTAGTTACCAAAATGGGATTATGAGTTATTAAATGAGAAAACGAATAACAATTTGCAATTGGATAGACAGATCCTAAAGGGCCCGGCGAATTCCTAATTGTAATTCGAGAATTTTTTTTGATTGATTCTTTTATTCGATTGTGATATTTTACAACGTTGAATGTATCTGTTTGAGAACAATTGGATGATAACAAAATTATCAATGATTGGAATTCCTTATTTCTATTCAACAACGTATGAATAGTTCCTTGACTTGGATTAAAGAATTGTTGAATTCTTGCCTTAGAATCGCAAAAAAGGGAATAAAACGGATTGATATTGGGGTAATCTGATCCATTATCAGAGAGCAATCCTGAACCTAAGGGCTGATTCCTTTTTCCAATATCGGTACTAAAGGATTTTGTCAAGCCGATTCGTAGGAAATGTCGAATCAAACCGTTTGTACTTATTTCAATAAAAGATGCACGGATTTCTTTGCCCAGATCACATTCTCAGCAGAGTAAGTACTCACGAGTTATCTATATCTGGTTTATCGGTTACTTAGATTAATGGACCTTCTTTCTTTTTTAGTTTCTTTACGAATTTGTGTATTATTAATGGCGAATGTCGTTCTTTCTCTTATGTCTTTTTGGTATTTTTTCAGCTCCGAGTTATATGAACTTCGTGTTGAATGCGACGGATACGCCACCGGAAGACTACTACGATTACATCATAGTCAGAGGAGGAACGGCCGGGTGTCCCTGGCGGTGACCTTGTCGACAAAATACAAAGTTCTTGTTTTAGAAAGAGGCGGGGGTCCCGCATACTCATCAAAACTTGAAGACCCAAGAAGGATTCTTGCCAACCCTTTTAGATTCCAACTCGCCTGGTTCGCCAGCCCAGACTTTCATCTCCGAAGACGTGGTCCACAACGCAAGGGGGCACGTTCTTGGCGGCAGCAGCGCCATCAATGCTGGTTTTTACAGCCGGGCTGATGGGGAATTCTTTAGGGTTTCAGGTATGCATTGGGATTTCAGAGTTGTGAATAAGTCTTATGAATGGGTTGAGAAGGCTATTGTGTTTAGACCCGAGTTGAAGACCTGGCAATCTGCGGTTAGGTATGGGTTCTTGGAAGCTGGAATTAGTCCTTACAATGGTTTTGCATTGGATCATGTTGAGGGCACCAAGATCGGTGGGACCATATTTGATGGCAATGGTCAAAGACACAGCGCAGCTGATCTTTTAAGGTATTATGCAAATCCTAGCAACATTCAGGTGGCTGTCCATGCCACTGTGCAAAGAGTTATTGTTGCTGCATTTCCTCTTGTTGAACCTTAAGCGACTTGGGCCTCGGGTCGGCAACTCACAAGGAAGAGTCTACAGAATCGATAGGCCAATTGTAGTGGATCCCATCTTCAAGGCTCAAGGCCCATCCATCTCTGACTAAATAGCCTACCTAATTAGCCCTATCGGAGGCTACCTAGCTACTTATTCAAATAACGAAGCTTTTCCTTTTCAGGATTCTGCTGCCATTTCATCCGATACAGTTAGCTCGAAAGCTAATTAAGTCACCCCAGTTCCTTTCCTTAACAAGCGAGCGACTCCGCGGTAGAAGAATCAAAGGCTCAGGGCAAATGAGTCAGGAGTTGTTCCATAAGCCAACTTATCCCCGTTTTATTAGGTCACGAAGATCGAAATAAGGAGGGAGTGAGACTTTGACTGTGATCGTATCTGCTGTGATTGAATCAGCTGTTGTTGGAAGAAAAGCCCAAGAATGAATATAGAATAAGGCAGAGAGCTTCTTGACTGGAGAATGCGGAGATTCACCTGAGTCGCCTGACTCTAGATCTAGAAATGACTAATAGACATCTCTCCTCTGTCCTCTTAAGTGGGCAGCATACTCCTTCTACTCATTGCCTGCTTTTCCTTCCTCGGACATTCATTCTGGTAATAAATGGCTAGAGAGCAGTAAGAGCTTGTCAGCAAATGGCTTACTATTTTCTATCCATAAATGATGCTTTTCACGAGACAAACCCGGCCCGGGATTACTTTCTAATTGCTGTCAGCAGTTAAGGGACAAAGCGTACTTAATCCTATTTTCTAGTTCCTGTTATAGTGAGGGTTCAATTAAAGGATTCTAGTCTTTCTTATTCCAATAGGGTAAGGGGCGGAGCGGAAAGGAAGACTAAATCAGCCAATTACTTCTAATACGATAGCACCATCGGCAACTTCTTCAAGAAGAGCCTCTCTACCGACTCACGTTCGAGCTCAAAGTAGTCTAGCCAAGCCCAGGCCAATAACAGTTTCTTCTGTAACAGCTTTTGCTCTAACTGACAAAGAGCTAATGATTGGAGATCTTCTACCGAGTACCTAGATAGTATACAGGTGACCCAGCCAATGCCAATCTCGATTCAAGTGGAAGCAATGTCCGCTAAAAAGAGCCTTGATCGACTATATGATAGGCAATAGCACCATTTTTCCATTCTTCACTTCAATACGAAAGGAACGGATTCTCGAACAGTATACTTATTAACTTTCTTCCCCTCAATCAGGTCATAGGAATTTTTATTTAAAATAACATCTTTTTCTTAAGTTGATAACATCACATCCCTTATTCATCTGCACCTAAAAAGAGCAGAGTTGTGAAAACTTAGAAGAGTGGCTTCACTTCAAAGAACCTTTGAGGTTAGGATTCATTGTGGTCAAAAATTTCAGAAGTTATAATTGACTCGTGTGCGGAATCGAAAAAAGCCTGTCAATTTCTAGCTGTCGAAAGAACTGCTGCCTACCTCCAAAGATCTCTACCAATTAGATTGCCAGCCAAGAGGTTTCTTCCCTTCCTATGAGGAAGATTATGGGAACACTATGTCCCTGATTCCATATAAACAAGCTAATTGAATAGTTAGGGCCCCCTGGATCGGCTTTCGATGAACTCAGTCTTCAGCCCTTCCCTTCGCTTAGTTGACAATTCGACCCTTGCTTTTCTTTAGCTAAGGAATGCCAGTTACCTGACTGAGCAGCCCTAGCTACAAGAAAGAGATGCAACAGCTGCAAGCCGAGCAGCCCTACCTGAAGAGCTAGCTGACCCGGTGGTACAACTTAACAAATAGTCTATTCGCACCTCTCACTTTTCTTTAGTCCATCCGGCATAACCGCATTTTAACCAACCGACTAACTTCCCTCTCCGGAATGAGAATCCATGATTTGATCCGCTAGCTTTTCACTCCTCTCCCGCTTATTGATTAGGGCAAGTGGCTTTCACTCCTGGATCATGCCGAGAAAGAGAAGGTCTCAACACCGGGCTGTCCTCCCAATTAACAAAACTAGAACTGCTGGTGACTGGCCTATCCTACAACTTACTAGCTTTCGGACTTCCCGGCTGAAGAGCAAAGAGATATCTATTTTACAGTAAAGCCGTAGCTTCATCTCATCTTATAATAGCTATTCCGCTTGCTACCTGATGCCTTCTTTCTCTTTATTAAAGCCCAGCTATACGTGCGGTGGAAGGCACATGCTTCTCTTTACGACGTAAAGGAAAAGAGTTCAATTTCGATAACTCTGCTCTGGGAACTGAACTCATTTAATAATGACTCAAAAGGGTCCCTTCAGGCAGATCTTTGGGCATTAAAAGTAGAGTTTCGGGGCTTCATAGTTCTGCAAGCTTTATGGATATCCTTTCGTTAGCCTTTTGAATTCCGCTATCAATGAATCCTAGTTGATCGAGAAACTCTCGTCCAAAGGAGGCTCATTGAGCCGGTCACCGATGGCTAACCTCACTCGTGCCATACGTGGGGTTCTTCAATGAGCGAAGAACAAGAAATGGATCCTCCCAGCCACCTGCCAAGCCTGTGTATTCGGCTCAACTCTTGCAGTAGCTTGGGCGGGCTCTGGGCTTGTAGCCGATATGTTGAGAGCTAAGGCCCATCGCCGAGAAGGTTACTGTTTGGTGGCGTTCGGCATGGAACAAGCACTTGCTTTTTAAGGTTCCTGGACAATCTTCACTCTAGCACACCACAACACCTTGTGGTTGAGTACTGAGTTAGTTGATCTGGGTTTACTGCCTATGCTATCTTGGGTAACGAGATTGTTATCGGAGATGCGAAGGTATGAGCTTGAAGCATATAATTGTAGAGAGATGAGGGATGGAAGGAAGAATGGATATTTATCAACACTACTGAAAGAGCACGGACTCGGTTTTGGAGCTTTCGCTCGGGCTACTAATCTACTCTTCTCCGACTCATAAGAAGCACAACAGCACTCGTAACCGTCCCTAGCTTCGTTCTCTAACCTATTCCCTTTCCTTCAGTGAGATATGGTCATACCCGACCAGGTCTTCTCTCTCCTTTACCCCCATCCCCTACTCCTTACTCCGTAGCGAATCAAGCTCTTTGATCAATCGGTTTCCAATCGTTCTTATATCAACATTTATGGAAAAAAGCCGAATCTCGGCATTAGCAGCGCGTAGGCCTTCAACAGAGCTGAAGTGATCAACTATACCACACCTTCCCAAATTCGACTTCTTTCCCGGCAGAAAGAGTGAACTTGCCCAACGAGGGCGTTCCGAGACCAATGCTATCAATAAGAAGGATAGACTCTTTCTACTCCCGAGGCAATCCAACCTTGGGTACGAGCGATAGACATTCAATTCACGCGCAGCCAACCCCGTCGTTATGGCTTCAACCCCTTTTCCTTAATTTAATAAAGTAACTTGCGTGCGTTTTGTTTTCTCGGTCAAATGAGTTGAAAAGAGATTTGAGCTCTACGACGTCCATTGAAATCGACACCTTTTTTTGCCCTTGCTTAGCTCGAATAAAAGTACGATATTCAAAGTAGAAAGAAGTCCTGCTCTGCCGCCCGTGTTAAGCCAAGTGAGTTTACTTCGTTTGTGCCATCTCGGTCCAGTTTAGAATTGACCTCCATTTTAAATCCCGCTTCCTTGTTAGCTAGGAACCCCTCCTCTATGAAGCAGAGAATGATCGATCGAAGACGAGAAGATAGAAGAAGATCTTTTAAGCATCGGTTGCGACATCGAATGAGACTTATCCAGGAGCAAAGACTCGGTTGTCTTTCGTCTTTGAAGAAGTCAAACGCCGCCTAGAAAGAGGCTACGAAGCGGTCGAGGTTGAGTGAAGACCAGTGGTTGCGAATATTTAATTCCATGTGCTAGATATCCTGCTTCTTTGAATCATTCATGGGTAGGCCATGTAACCATGCCTTTGGGTGCTGTTCCTTCTTCGTTACAACAAAAGATCAAGATGCCAAGAGATGGGGAATTCTTACTATCCATGGAGATGCTGATAGGGAGACAACTTTCTTCGAGGTGAAGGATGACAATGCAGGATTTAATCTAACCGGGTTCCAGTTTGTTAATGCTATAGAAAGGGTGCCCCCTTTATTTTTATCCTATGCAAATCATTACGTGGCTCATATAGAGATGGGACATTTCCCTGGACTTGGCTTGGGGGGAGAAAGAGCAAGGGGTCACCAAACTTTGTGAATCACAAGGCAACTTATAGGCTGGGTTATGTTCCAACTGAAGAGGACAAGGCTGCCTAGGTAGATGGGTGAAAGAGAGAAGAGGGTTTGCCCCCATATTCCAAAAGAATGGCAATTTTTAAAAAAGAGAAGGTTCCAATTTTCCTTTATGTGTTTTTCCAGAGCCGTGGTACGATCCGAGGAGCGGGAAATGTTATCCAGAATTGGAGGTCTTCGCTGATGTGGAGGTCAATTGGGTGGTGGAGGTACCTGTTCAGCTTGTGCTTGTTGATCCAAATTTTCATTAACAGGAGCCTCATCATTAGTTGCATCATCTTGAGCTTCAGGTTCATCTCCCCCGTGATCATCACGAACATAAGGAACAGGGTCTTACTATAGATACGAATCTCCATTCGGTGGCTCTGGATCTACCTCTTTTCATCGGTTCTTATTTGGATAAGCTGCAGGATCAACGGCTGGATCGGCTGGAACTACACTGGGCTATGGAACTAAAATGGAAGCTAGAGAATGCTGGATCAACCGGCGAGACTTACTGTGCCGAGAGCACCAATAGATAGCCATGCTAGATCCCTCAACAACCGTAGTTTCCCTCGTTTTCAGAGGGTTTAATAGTAGGAATTCTTCAAGGGGGTTGAAAACACTCGCATAGATTCCTGATTAGGGCCACCCTTCGAATTCTGATTTAAAGACGCTCTCAAGAAAGTTTCTTTTATAAGACCTGAATGGAGCCTTTTAACACGAGTTAGATATTGAAGGTAGTAGAAGTGATGTGTGGGATACATATACCTTTCAAAGCATCGGAAATGGAGGTTTAAGGAAAATGTTTCCCCTGTTCAGCGGAATTGTGATCGCTTAGCCGGTAAAGGCATAGAAAAAGAAGGACCACGATTCCCCCCACGCAAAGACATCATCACTGCCGAACACATGCAAACAAATAAGGATTAGACAATAGAAGAATCTCAAAGCAGCACCGACGCTGAGTAAAAGGTGACAACGAAGAAAAAGTCTTGGTATTGGATCCGCTCTTCTCTTAGCATGAACATTCATTTTATTCTATTTGTCTTCTTTATTCTTATAGCTCCACTTCCTTCCTTCCTTCCGAACATCATAACGGTCCACCAGCAGGCGGTACAGTAAATACATAGCATAAAGGCGTTTCGCATACCACCCCCTCGCGCTAACAAATCTCTAGGAATAGGGTCCTCCTCACAACCCTGAAGAGCGTTTCCCAGTGATTTACAAAGCAAATGAAAAATTTCTATTCTATATATGAATTTAGGAGGCAAAATTAGATAACATAGAATAGTCCATATATTAGGCATTTTCACTTTATTTTAGAACAACCCCCTACCCGAACCATTCTTAAGACCGCTAAGCCCTCTCGAATGAGTTCTACTATAGAAGCTTTCAACGTAGACCCGGGTTCAAATTTTTCACTCACTGAGAAGTTAAAACCTGTGACTAAATCGTCCTGAAGACGGATGCGACGGGAAGAGGTGGCATTTTGAATTGTTGCTGACTTAACATTTAGGTTTCGGCATAACAAAGCTTGCACTGTCTTTTCGCACTTAGGCGCACAGCGTGCTATTGGTAATGATTCTACTACGGTGCCACAAATTCGTAAGCTGATCCTAAGTAACTGTTGTTGTTCATTGGATTCCGGAGGAACTACTTCGTTAGGATTGAGGAATTGCTGCGATTCTTCTTGAATAGCCTGGATTCTCCCGTCGAGAGTCTCTTTGAAAGTCTTACCTAAACTCTTCCGACTGAATATAATAAAGCCTATAAAACAAGCGGCTACTATCATTTCTTCATTATAGATTAAGATCTTCTTTGAACTTGATGCACAAATAGATAAAATAGCAGCAAATAGCATTTCTCTAGCCTACATATTCGTGGAACTCAATATCATTTAGAAAGCCTTCTCTCTCTATCTTTTAGCAACTGAACGGGAAGTGGTTTAGGAAAGGACTTTCAAATCGGATGCGTTCGCCCAGCAAGAAAAGCCCTGACCCTGCTAACCAAATCAAAAGAAAAAAGAGAAGAGACCTTCGTATTTTGTTAACTCTCTAGGAGTCATCTTTAACCTTGAATACTATTAAAAAATTCTATAGCAATAGTCCCTCGGACTCGGAAAGTAATAACGAAAATGGCTAACCCAATAGCGGATTCCGCAGCTGCCACCGTTAGAACCAATAAAGCAAATGATTGACCCATCATATCATCCAAAGAAACAGAAAATACCAAAATGTTCGAATTCACAGCTAATAACATTGATTCAATTGGCATTGACATAATAGGAATATTTCGTCTATTAAGGAGGATTCCCCGAATACCTAAAATAGAGATGATCAAAGAAAATGTAAAATATTTGATAGGATCCATTTCGGGAACGTAGAAGGGTTGAGTAATTCAAAAGAAAAAAGGGATTCTATTCATTAACAAATAGGTGGAACATAATTGATTAGAAGAAACTGAGGCACAAAGAAAGAAGTATCACTTTACGTATCTTCCGAAACCCAGTCGTCCGGTTTGCAACGCCTACTACATCTGCGGGGTGGGAACTCTATAGATCCAAATTCACCTATCCCTATCCGGGAGTGGCAATCCAAAAGAGCGCCGGAATTTAGCATCACTAAAATGCTCAAAAAACTGCTTATACAGTTCAGACGCTCTTTCCTCTCGCGCTACTGTTTGCACTACTTCATCAATCTTATTATAGTGTTCCAATGCGGGGGCTTCGTACTCCCAGGCTTCCAGGTTATCTGTTAAAAACCCGTGAGCCTCTTCCCGGATATGCTGGTAAGGCGAGAGTTCCATTATTTTCTCCAGATTTCGTTCTGTAATCATGAGAGAGAATAACTTCTCTTGGAGACTTGCCTTTTTTTACTCTATGAAATCCACACTTTGACACCTAAGATTCCGTAACGAGTAGATAATTCCGCAGAAGCATAATCGATTTTCTGGTTAAATACATTACGAGGTGTTTTTCCATACTTTCCGCATTCAGTTCTAGCTATTTCTGCACCTTTTAATCGACCTGAACAACATATACGGACCCCTCAACCCCCTTTTCATTACTAATGGAATTTCCTTCACTATTTTATTAAAAATAGAACGAAATGATCTTCTTTTGTTTCTCGGTTGAAAAGAAATGTCTTGAGCAATCGGAGAAGCACTTTGATAAATAGATTTGATCTTGACTGATTCAATTAACGTATTAGTGTTTGTTCTATTAGACAACAAAGATCGCATTTTTTTTATTTCGTTCAAATAAGAGTTGTACCCGTACGGAATTCTTCTGTTTCTCAGTATGATCTCTATCATCATCTCTATTCCTTTTAACAATTCTCCTATCCTACCTAGGTCTATGAATTTCTCTATCAATTCCATTACCTTATCCTCCTTACTCATGAAGTTCCAACATTTTATCCTTAATTTACCTAGGAGTTTTTTCCGGGCATCCTTAAAAAAAAAGGTTTTATATACGCCAAGCACATCTCTTAGAAAAAAAAAGGTAGCACCAAAGAAAGGAAAAAGCAAGATGGTAGTTTTTGTTGTTCCCACAAAGCGAAGATCATTCGCTTGGCGAATGAAGTGGTTCAACCTCTTTTTGGTTTTGGCTTCGGCCAAACACTTTTTCTCGCTGGTCAAGCTTTCTACAAAAAAAGAAATGCGAGAACGTATTCTCTTATCTAAGCTTCTTTCCTGAGCATTAGCTCTCCCCATCGTAGATGGTTCAGCTACGCCCGGTGCCACAAAATGATTGAGAACTATGACGGGATCGAAATTTATTTTGTTTTTTGTATTCAATAAGTAGTGCATGACCAAATAATTTAAGGAAGGGCACACTGCGGGGAGGGTCTTTTTAAGTAGATGATCCGCCGGACGGTTGAAGCGGGGCTTCTTTGGAAAAAAGAACTTGAATAAATTTGTTTTTCTGAAGGAGTTTTCTATCAGGAACGCTATGTCATTTACAACCCGGCGTATTTCGGATGCTTGAAGGCCTCGCTGACCCGAAGTTCTTTAGAAAGATTCTTCTTTTTCGATGGTGATCGGTCATGGTATCCATAGCGTTGCTTCTTTTTCGGCCAAATCCTGATTTCGTTTTGCTTCTCCTGATCGTCGAGCCTGATAGACTCGACTTTTTTTCCTGCCTCCCAGCCTCTCACTTCATTTCGTTCTTCTTCTGTACCGTCGTTTGAATGAAGACACTCGATTGGGCAGACTTTCCCAAATGCCCACCACCGGCCCTTCTCCTTTCTGCGTCTGTATTTCTTGCGTCGTTTGAGTCGTCGTGGTCGACGGGGAAGAAAGAAATGAATGAATGCTCTTTTGAGAAAATGTAGAATAATACACCTATCGAGACGGAAGCCAAAGGTTAGTCTCGTCGGTGGACGTATCGAACCGAAATAAGATCTCAGATTGACATCTTGATACACTAATTTACCATAATAATAAATAGAGTCAATGGGTGACTCCGCCGTGGGAAGAGCCGCTTCCTTCTTGCTTGATAAGGGGGGCTTCCATTCACCAACGCAGACTAAAAGTGCTCTCCGAACCGTGCGGGATAGTCACCCATCACACGGCTCTCAAACCCAACCTATGGTGGATCCCGGGAGACAAAGTAAAAGCGCTTGGTCTTTAGCCCTATACTTTGAGATGCTCCTCCCCGCCGATCAAGGCCATTAAGGTCGTGATAGGCTTTTTTTAAGCCGCTATCGCGGATAAAAAGTCCTTCGTCGGTTCGCTCAGGCGGTCTTCCCTTATCTTTTCGAGTTGTTCTTGAGATGAGAAAGGAGCACCGGCCGAGCGCCACGAATGAATAAAAAATTGACAGCAGAGGGAATCAATGATTTTTATTCGATCGAGTTCTAGTTAACAACATGTTGATTACACATCGGAGGTTGGTAAGAACGAGGACAATCCCCCTAACCTAAGTCGGCCTACCAGTAAGCAACTGGTACTTAATCGGGTGGGGGGCGGTTTGGTTTTTTTTGTGCAACGCCCTCGCAGCAGGAAGAGGTGGTTGTCATTTGAAAGGAAAGGTCTTTTGTATAGGGCTTTAAGCACCTGCCCACCCTAATGAAAAAGCCCTTTTTCTATCTTATTAGTTTAGTAAAGCCTAAAGGCCCTGAAATCAAAAAGTAAACTTTATCCCTTCTTGCTTTAGTTTGATTGCAGCTAGCGCACTTTACTAATATAAATAATAGAAAAAGGTAAAGGCTCTTCTCCTGTTTTATGAATCTACAACTCTCTTTACTGAGCGAGACTACATTCATATCCCTACCAGTGTTTATTCTTTTTTTCTATTCTATCATTTGTTTGACAGCTTAAACTAGGCTCCACTTTAGATAGGTTTTGGTCTTTATTTAATCAAGATAGGCCAAGGGCGCGTCGGAATGATAGGTAGCAGCTTAGTCTCATCCGAGAGTCTAATCTCCTTTATTGCTTTTTTTCAAATTTCAAAAAAAAAAAAAGAAAAGAAAGAAGGGGTCGATTTAGGCTCCTTTTCCCTTTCACTGCATAGCTGCGCTAGCAGTACTACGAGCCCTCTCGTCCCACGCATCTAACCAGCTCGCGTGGTTCAGCGCTTCCACTGAAAAGTCTCATTTATTGAAGCGGAGCATAGTGCGCTTTAGGCGCCAAGCGATAAACTTCTCTTCTTTAGTTTCGATTTATTCACTGATCTGAAACTTAGCACTTCTTTTCTTATTGATTCCAGGAGCGGGCGTATTCTTGAATGAACTGAACCAAATTAGCACTTTTCAGATCAGGCTAGGCCTCTCCAGTGAGCTGGGCGCCAGCCCTGGATGCGCTAGCGATTGGCACATAAGGGAGTGGTTGCCGGGTTTCTCCGCTTGATATCCTGCACCTCGCGTTTATGATATCTACATTCAACTGTGCCCGGAGACAGGGTCGAAGCACGGCCGCCAGCGTGCTTCTTTCACGGCATGCTCTAGTCCTGGGTGTCTTCCAGTGGTCTTCTAGCCTTAGAAGAAGTCGTGTCCGCCCGCGGACATCCGCAACGTCCTCCCAAGCTTTTTTAGATTTCAAATACGGGATAAACTGAAGGAAAAGGCTGACCCATTCGGTGACTTTCGCGGTCGCCCTCACTGAACCAACTTGAATCTGAACTACGATTCAGATCAAGTCTTACCGAAATTGGATTTCCTTTTTGTGCCATAGTTGTTTTGTTTATACTTGACTTTTTCTCCCTTTTCTTCCTGGTCCAATATTTGTTCTTGAAGTTCTTCGTTTCCGTGTAAAAGCAAACTCTCTTAATTTCTGACCCAACCTCGGGGACAGCGGTAGACCCCTCGACAACTGGCAGAGTCTCCACTCCATCATGCTTAGGTAAGCGTTATATGCAACCATTTATTTTATTGATGATTAGGGTATATTTCTTAGCAGAGAAGTCGCTCAACTAAGAAGGAGAGAAGCAGGTTAATAAAGGCTGTAGAGCAATAGCATAAGTCTTATTGACTTGTCTCCTAACTATAGATCAGATCCACCAGACGAGAAACTGTGTGAGGCTCAAGGCTTTAAAGAATTAATACTAGGCTCAGGGGAATTTCTTTAAATTACTTCCAATACCTCGTTCAGAAAGAAGAGTCGCTACTTCTTAATAACCCCCTAAGGTAACATAAGAAGAAAGAAAGATGCACAATGATAGATTCTGGGATCTCTTCTTGGCGAATTTCTACGCTTTTATAGGAGTGATAGGGGAAGGGATCTTTTCCAGTAATAGGATAAATTAGGATTTTTTGTAGTTTAGGGGAAAGAATCATGGCTGAGGCCTAAGCCGCTTTAGTAGAGACAGACTGAAATACCCCATCATAGCACTATAAGAGGGTTCAGCAGGGAACTATTGAAGCTTCCAGCTTTCCACCTATATGTATATAAGGATATTACGGGAATCATGCTAAATTCGCTTTTGCAAGCTGGAGTAGGGCGATTAGTGCAGCCATTAGGAGATTGCCACGTGTATCACGACAGAGACAAGAAAGCAGCAATCAGGTAGTCTTTTCTAATATCTTCGCTCCGCTTCGTTCGTTCATTCTAGCATCTGCTTTCAATGCTTGCTAGTAAACAGCAGTTGTCTCTTTCCTCTCGCCCTTACTTATCTTATAACGTACTCTTTACAAGAGCCGATTCAACAAGAGCTTACCCCTCTGGTAACTTCGCTACTTTGAGAACAGCGAGAGCAGAATCAGACTTTAAGATATATGTAACTAACTTGTTTTCCTTCCTTACTAAATAAATCCCCTTTCTCTCTCGCTCTTTCTCCCTTCAGCCTAATCTTTCCTTCGCGAAAGGAAAAACTAGCACAAGCTGTGATCTGATACTTGACAGAAGAGTAGTGTTAAGTCCATTCATCACTGTGATAGCAATCTCGTAGACGAAGCAAATTTCGTTAATGCAACCATCAACAAGAAAGTACGAAGATAATTTTGTCTATCCCGTGAAACTCAAAAGAGTGCAAAAAATTCACAGTAAGACGATCGTTTATCTAAGTGATTCTATCTCTTAACTCAAACCAAGCAAAGAACACATTATCCATGAAAGATTCGAATTAAACAACAACCCACGCTAAGAATAGCAAGGACACCATTCAATATACTCGATCAGTCATCTATCAAGAGACTCAAGAAAGGTAGGAGCAAACAATGCCCAACTATGAAGGAATACTATTGATTAGTAATCTTCATAACCAACCAAAGATATGCAACACATACACTATCTCAAAATGCTTATGCTAAAGCACAACTCATCCAACAAAAGTAGGACAAACCCCACAATGGATCTCATGAACACACTCATCATGAAATTCGAACACCAAGCCAAAGGAAAGGCTCATCAATCGAACTACTAGAAGTAGTATGAAAATAAGAAGTTTTGTTTTAGGACAATTCTATCAAGAAGCATACTTGAAAAAGAACGGTTTCTGCAAGATCAAAAACATCCAAGATAAGATGAAAACCCTCTTGATTTAATCATACTTGACACGAAAAATGGACACTCCATTTAACAAAAATTCCTCACAGGAAAAACTCTCGAAAGAGACAACAAAAATGACCACACAAGGGTGCTTAAGAAATTCGGCCAAGCCTCCTATATATAGGCTTGAATTTTCGGCCAGCACCACTAAAAAGAAGACCAATTAGGACTCTCTAATCTTATCTCACAAGGAGTAAAAGTAGAAGAGTACTTGATCTCTTTGACTCTATCTAAAATCTAGGAAACCTTATCTAAATGACTTATCCTCAAGTAGGATAATATCTAGAAGGAATCTAAGACTCCTAATCAAAACACTCTAGTTTAATTCAGTCCACATGACTTATTTAACTAGATAAAAATTCGAAAATTGACTCCTAGACTTAGACTAACTCTAATCTCGAAATTCAACTCCAAATTATTGAACTAAAATGTCTTGAACGCCCTTCCAAAAGTGGAATGTTGGTCTTGCGCCCCTTAAGTTGTATAAAACTCCAATTTACTCCAAAACTTGTAGAATTCTCTTTATTGACTCCAAAAGATTGGAAAAACACTTGAAACAATTAAGATAGTTTGCAACCTATCCAATTGTGTAGCAATGGACTCAATCTTGAACACTTGATACTCTTCAGCACTTATTTCCATGAGGTCTTCATCTCCTTTGGTTTGCACCCCAAAGTCAATGACATTCTCATCACCTTGATCATAGCTCTCTTGAACCAACTCCCTATCACATAGGTGGTCAAAATCCATCCTTTCTTCCTTGATTGGCCTGCAAAGTAAACTTAGTATTCCAAATCTAGAATGAAGGACTAGCTCATTCCCCTTACTAGGAGAATCTCCATGGAAGGCTAAATGATTCTCATCATCCCCTCTTTCTTTAAGAGGATTCGTCCTCGAATCATCAACCTCTATACCTGCACAAGGAACAAACGAGATATAAGGGTTAGTAAAACCCTCACCCTCACCACACTCTGATTTTCTCTCATTGCGTGCATTTTTTTTCTGTTTCCACGCTATTTTCATGGTTTTCTCTCGCCTCAAGTTTTACCTCATCGTGACCCTTTTTACTTTCTTGCGTCACTCGCTCGACTTTTTCTCTCCTTTGTGTATAGGTTATCTTACGTCTTTTCTCTCACACAGATTCAAACTCTTAAGAATGTATTTTCTATCCTCTTTAGTAAAGACAAAGATATTCTTCGAGCAATGGGGCACAACATCTACATCTGACTGCCAAGGCCTACCTAGCAAAATATCACAAAGAGACATAGGAATTACATCAAAGTAAATTTCATCCCTATACTCACCAATCTGAAAAGGTACCATGGCCTTTTTAGTAACATCCACAACCATCTCTTCACTCAACCATTGAAGCTTGTATGGTCTAGTATGCGGATCCATCTTGATTCCATTTGCTATGCAAAATTCCTCACTTACACAATCAGTACTCGACCCACCGTCGATTACCAAATCGACTTCATTGGACCACCCAATCGAACACTTAGTACGGAAGATACAAGTCCGTTGATCTCCATCTTCAGTGCCAAACACCAACCCCTGATCCTCAATTAGACCATTCCAACCACAAGAAGTATCATACTCTCTTTCCACTTCTAAGGCAGCATAGTATGCCTCATAGAGCCTTGATTGTCTCCTTACCTTTGGATGTTGTTTGAAACACTTGTCCAAGCATAGTGGAAACGGTCTGTCGACATGTAGTCGTTCTCATCCACTTCTGAACTCAGAAACAACCCTTCTAATTCCTCAAAGTAAGATTGAATGGATCTACCATTCTGCTTACAATTGAACAACTTCACTTTTGCTTCATCAAAGGTGTTAGTACCAGCATATCTTTCTCGCAAAGCACTTCTCAAATCATGCCAATCATCCAAATTACGATACCAATAATGCGAATAGATATTTGAAACTAGCTTCCACCAATTCAAAGCATTAGAACGAAAACAACCTATAGCTAAGCCTATTTTCTCACTCTCTTTCTCTATGTTAAGCAACACAAACAAATTCCCTATGCTCTTTTCCAAAGTATCATATTCTCTATGACAACCATAAACAAAGGCAATGACACTTGAAACATTCCAGCATATAAGGGTACTTGTTTAACTTCAAAACGATCACATAAGACTCTTAAATTTTCAGCAATTTTCTCAAAACTTACCATAGCTTTATCTTGCTGATTTGAAAGCAATTGAGACAAGTCTCGGTTTGCCTCCTTAACCTCGGCCAAAGCATCATGTAGGAAGTCAATTTGACTCTTCATGAGCTGTACTTGAGCCTCCATGCGACCCTCTACACTCTTTGAAGCGATTTGAGTACAACCAACAACTCCAGATGACATCTTTGCTCAAAAACTCTGAGAAACCACCAACAAAAGAAGTAATGTGCCTTGTTTACTACACAAAAACTCCTTGAACCCTAGAACCAAAGTTTGGTTCGGCCGAAACCCCCCCAAGAACCTAAGGAAGGTTCGAATAAAGCTCTCCCCAAAAATAAAAACTCTCTTGTGCTTTTAAGAACACAACTCTCAAAATTTCAGAATTAAAGAGAAGAGTGCTTCTCTTGTTCTTTTCTCTTTTGATCTCGGCAGCAAGAAAGAAGAAGAAAATTGGAGTAGAGTGATGTGAGAATTTTCGAAAAACAGCACCCCTAGTTATAGGTAATGCAAGTCTTTTTGTGCAAGAAAACTCCTACAAGATAGGACCTAAATTTTCTCAAAAATATTCCCCCCTTTTTAATGATGAAGACTGCTCGACAGTATGGAATAAAGAAGAAGAAAAACCGGCCTCATATATATAGACAAGGATAGAGTCCTAAAACTTAGGTAAACATAATCCTTTTTGGACACAAGTTAGGAAAACTCATCCCTACTTATTAGAGATAAAATTTTCGACCCCCCTACTACTAAAAGGACTCAAATACACGGCAACACACATGCACAATTGTATTAGAAGACTAAAAAAATTTCAGATTAGGATAAGACTTCCTTATCTTAATAGTTTTCGAAAATAGACTCACTTTAAAACTCTAATTATAATTTCACTGAAATTATAATTTAACACATGCAAAAATTAGTATTTAAATCCAAGTAGGACTTAAATAAAACACACAATAAAATTGTATTACAATTAGGAAACAATGGCTGCAAATTTTTGGCCAATGTGAACACAAAAATCCAAAACCGAATAGGACTCAAATCATAACACAATTTGGACTCAATGACCTTAATTTTAGAGCTAAATTTTTCGGCCATGTGAACACACAAATACAAGACCAAATAGGTCTCCAAGTGTAACACAAATAGACAACAAAAATTCAAGTTCAACTAGGACTAGGAAACCCTAATTTTCAGCTTCACAATTTCGGCTATACTATGACTCTAAAATTCAAAACCAACTAGGCTTAGAATACCACATAAATCACACGCACACACATGCAAAAAGTCAGCAAAATTTCGGCTATTAACCTTTTACCACATAGTTAAAATTTGAAAAAATTACTTTTGACTCACTTTCCAACTTTCCAAAGGAAACTTGAAAATTACCACTTTCCAAAAATGGACAACAACTTTTAGAATTTTTCTAAAAACCCTTTTCCAAATTGTACTTGGAATTAACAAAAATTACTTTTTACCAAAACAATCCATGGCAAATAAAGTAACAAGAACACCATCATTATAATGAAGTAGGAAATTAAAGTTCCTTATTCAATTATGACATTTGCTTCATAATACTAAATTTAACACAAATCATTCTGAAAACTCAGTGACTTAACAATGCCATCTTCATAAGTGACCATTGAAAATCAACTTTTCCAACAACCAAATATGTAAACTTTAAGAATATATCTCAAAGCCTATAAGATTTCTTGTCATAAATTAAGAAAATCTTTTTAGTAAAACTTCACTCAATTTTCGATCCTACTCTCGAAAATCAAGGTTTTAAAACACAAGTCAAAGACTTCAATCCTTAAAGTTGGCACAATTCAACTTCAAAGACCTTAAAACACTTTGACACCAAAACTGATATCACTAAAAATTCATTCCACATCACATGACAAAGAAAGTTTTGACTCAATCTCAAAGTGTAAAACTCGAGAAAACAAGAAAACCAACATTTGTTATTTTTGAAAAATGTTTTGACACTAAGATTAAACAAAATTCGGTCTCTATGAAATTTTCATGAATTGAAAATCCATAAATTCCATTTTACTCATTAGATTCAAATGAAACCAACAAGAAGGAAGGCTCTTTCATTTATACTTTATGTAGATAGTACAAAATCACTAAGCTTCACCTTTCAAAGAATAGATCCAAGATATTTATCACAAGATAAACTCTCAAATCCTCCTTATGTAAAGACATCTCTTTAGAAAGAAAAGGCTATCTCGAGCAAGAAGCTCTTCTTTGGCATCAATTCTCTCCTTAAAGATCCAACACATAAGATCCACCAACTTGCTCATAGGAGAAACAGTTCTCTACTCGCAAATCAAGGATAAATTTCAAGATGTAGCGCCCACTTTGATTAGATACCAACGTACCATCATCAAGTTCTCGCATAGACCTCAAAATAACACCACAAGATCAAACAAATGTGTAAGAAGTCTCGCACAACAACACAAAAGACAAGATTAATTTTGAAAACGTAGTTTTCACAAGAATTTGATTTATTTTTTCAACACCCCATTCCAAAACAAGAAGGAACCTTGAAACAAATAAAGATAGTACTACTCAATAAGTAGCACAAAGCTCGATCACCACACCAAGTAACGGATTTCGTGGTAATTCAAGATATTCTCAAAACCAAGAACTATGGAGTCCTCAACTAAGAAGAAATCTCTCGAAAATCAAACTGATAATAGGAACTGATATGACAGTATCAATTATTATCATCACTAAGATAATCCAAGCTCTGATACCAAGAAACTGATAGCAATCTCGTAGACGAAGCAAATTTCGTTAATGCAACCATCAACAAGAAAGTACGAAGATAATTTTGTCTATCCCGTGAAACTCAAAAGAGTGCGGAAAATTCACAGTAAGACGATTGTTTATCTAAGTAACTCTATCTCTTAACTCAAACCAAGCAAAGAACACATTATCCATGAAAGATTCGAATTAAACAACAACCCACGCTAAGAATAGCAAGGACACCATTCAATATACTCGATCAGTCATCTATCAAGAGACTCAAGAAAGGTAGGAGCAAACAATGCCCAACTCTGAAGGAATACTATTGATTAGTAATCTTCATAACCAACCAAAGATATGCAACACATACACTATCTCAAAATGCTTATGCCAAAGCACAACTCATCCAACAAAAGTAGGACAAACCCCACAATGGATCTCATGAACACACTCATCATGAAATTCGAACACCAAGCCAAAGGAAAGGCTCATCAATCGAACTACTAGAAGTAGTATGAAATATAAATAAGAAGTTTTGTTTTAAAACAATTCTATCAAGAAGCATACTTGAAAAAGAACGGTTTCTGCAAGATCAAAAAGATCCAAGACAAGATGAAAACCCTCTTGGTTTAATCATACTTGACACGAAAAATGGACACTCCATTTAACAAAAATTTCTCACAGGAAAAACTCTCAAAAGAGACAACAAAAATGACCACTCAAGGGTGCTTAAGAAATTCGGCCAACCCTCCTATATATAGGCTTGAATTTTCGGCCAGCACCACTAAAAAGAAGACCAATTAGGACTCTCTAATCTTATCTCACAAGGAGTAAAAGTAGAAGAGTACTTGATCTCTTTGACTCTATCTAAAATCTAGGAAACCTTACCTAAATGACTTATCCTCAAGTAGGATAATATCTAGAAGGACTAAGACTCCTAATCAAAACACTCTAGTTTAATTCAGTCCACATGACTTATTTAACTAGATAAAAATTCGAAAATTGACTCCTAGACTTAGACTAACTCTAATCTCGAAATTCAGCTCCAAATTATTGAACTAAAATGTCTTGAACGCCCTTCCAAAAGTGGAATATTGGTCTTGCGCCCCTTAAGTTGTAGAAAACTCCAATTTACTCCAAAACTTGTAGAATTCTCTTTATTGACTCCAAAAGATTGGAAAAACACTTGAAACAATTAAGATAGTTTGCAACCTATCCAATTGTGTAGCAATGGACTCAATCTTGAACACTTGATACTCTTCAGCACTTATTTCCATGAGGTCTTCATCTCCTTTGGTTTGCACCCCAAAGTCAATGACATTCTCATCACCTTGATCATAGCTCTCTTGAACCAACTCCCTATCACATAGGTGGTCAAAATCCATCCTTTCTTCTTTGATGGGCCTGCAAAGTAAACTTGGCATTCCAAATCTAGAATGAAGGACTAGCTCATTCCCCTTACTAGGAGAATCTCCATGGAAGGCTAAATGATTCTCATCATCCCCTCTTTCTTTAAGAGGATTCGTCCTCGAATCATCAACCTCTATACCTGCACAAGGAACAAACGAGATATAAGGGTTAGTAAAACCCTCACCCTCACCACACTCTGATTTTCTCTCATTGCGTGCATTTTTTTTCTGTTTCCACGCTATTTTCATGGTTTTCTCTCGCCTCAAGTTTTACCTCATCGTGACCCTTTTTACTTTCTTGCGTCACTCGCTCGACTTTTTCTCTCCTTTGTGTATAGGTTATCTTACGTCTTTTCTCTCACACAGATTCAAACTCTTAAGAATGTATTTTCTGTCCTCTTTAGTAAAGACAAAGATATTCTTCGAGCAATGGGGCACAACATCTACATCTGACTGCCAAGGCCTACCTAGCAAAATATCACAAAGAGACATAGGAATTACATCAAAGTAAATTTCATCCCTATACTCACCAATCTGAAAAGGTACCATGGCCTTTTTAGTAACATCCACAACCATCTCTTCACTCAACCATTGAAGCTTGTATGGTCTAGTATGCGGGTCCATCTTGATTCCATTTGCTATGCAAAATTCCTCACTTACACAATCAGTACTCGACCCACCGTTGATTACCAAATCAACTTCATTGGACCACCCAACCGAACACTTAGTACGGAAGATACAAGTCCGTTGATCTCCATCTTCAGTGCCAAACACCAACCCCTGATCCTCAATTGGACCATTCCAACCACAAGAAGTATCATGCTCTCTTTCCACTTCTAAGGCAGCATAGTATGCCTCATAGAGCCTTGATTGTCTCCTTATCTTTGGATGTTGTTTGAAACACTTGTCCAAGCATAGTGGAAACGGTCTGTCGACATGTAGTCGTTCTCATCCACTTCTGAACTCAGAAACAACCCTTCTAATTCCTCAAAGTAAGATTGAATGGATCTACCATTCTGCTTACAATTGAACAACTTCACTTTTGCTTCATCAAAGGTGTTAGTACCAGCATATCTTTCTCGCAAAGCACTTCTCAAATCATGCCAATCATCCAAATTACGATACCAATAATGCGAATAGATATTTGAAACTAGCTTCCACCAATTCAAAGCATTAGAACGAAAACAACCTATAGCTAAGCCTATTTTCTCACTCTCTTTCTCTATGTTAAGCAACACAAACAAATTCCCTATGCTCTTTTCCAAAGTATCATATTCTCTATGACAACCATAAACAAAGGCAATGACACTTGAAACATTCCAGCATACAAGGGTACTTGTTTAACTTCAAAACGATCACATAAGACTCTTAAATTTTCAGCAATTTTCTCAAAACTTACCATAGCTTTATCTTGCTGATTTGAAAGCAATTGAGACAAGTCTCGGTTTGCCTCCTTAACCTCGGCCAAAGCATCATGTAGGAAGTCAATTTGACTCTTCATGAGCTGTACTTGAGCCTCCATGCGACCCTCTACACTCTTTGAAGCGATTTGAGTACAACCAGCAACTCCGGATGACATCTTTGCTCAAAAACTCTGAGAAACCACCAACAAAAGAAGTAATGTGCCTTGTTTACTACACAAAAACTCCTTGAACCCTAGAGCCAAAGTTTGGTTCGGCCGAAACCCCCCCAAGAACCAAAGGAAGGTTCGAATAAAGCTCTCCCCAAAAACAAAAACTCTCTTGTGATTTTAAGAACACAACTCTCAAAATTTCAGAATTAAAGAGAAGAGTGCTTCTCTTGTTCTTTTCTCTTTTGATCTCGGTAGCAAGAAAGAAGAAAATTGGAGTAGAGTGATGTGAGAATTTTCGAAAAACAGCACCCCTAGTTATAGGTAATGCAAGTCTTTTTGTGCAAGAAAACTCCTACAAGATAGGACCTAAATTTTCTCAAAAATATTCCCCCCTTTTTAATGATGAAGACTGCTCGACAGTATGGAATAAAGAAGAAGAAAAACCGGCCTCATATATATAGACAAGGATAGAGTCCTAAAACTTAGGTAAACATAATCCTTTTTGGACACAAATTAGGAAAACTCATCCCTACTTATTAGAGATAAAATTTTCACCCCCCTACTACTAAAAGGACTCAAATACACGGCCACACACATGCACAATTGTATTAGAAGACTCAAAAATTTTCAGATTAGGATAAGACTTCCTTATCTTAATAGTTTTCGAAATTAGACTCACTTTAAAACTCTAATTATAATCTCACTGAAATTATAATTTAACACATGCAAAACTTAGTATTTAAATCCAAGTAGGACTTAAATAAAACACACAATAAAATTGTATTACAATTAGGAAACAATGGCTGCAAATTTTCGGCCAATGTGAACACAAAAATCCAAAACCGAATAGGACTCAAATCATAACACAATTTGGACTCAATGACCTTAATTTTAGGGCTAAAATTTTCGGCCATGTGAACACATAAATACAAGACCAAATAGGTCTCCAAGTGTAACACAAATAGACAACCAAAATTCAAGTTCAACTAGGACTAGGAAACCCTAATTTTCAGCTTCACACCTTGATCATAGCTCTTTTGAACCAACTCCCTATCACATAGGTAGTCAAGATCCATCCTTTCTTCCTTGATTGGCCTGCAAAGTAAACTTGGCATTCCAAATCTAGAATGAAGGACTAGCTCATTCCCCTTATTAGGAGAATCTCCATGGAAGGCTACATGATTCTCATCACACTGTCCTGTGAGGGAGAAAGGAATTCACTCAGGATGGAACTCAGTATAGGATAGAAGCAAAATCACCATCACTTGGAATTTACTGAATAGGTATAGAGTTAGGACTTCCTTCTGTAACTGTCTAGGTAGCACAAAGGCAACGGAAAGCACTCGCATAGAGATGATAGGCTGAGAATCATAATAGAATGTGAAACTAAGGTTTGAAGATTGATCCATGTTTTGCTTGTAATATGCGAACCAAACAGATTCATTAGGTTCGCCTTAGTTAGAACAACGGGATCACCCATACGGTGCTTGAAAAAGAAAATGAGTATTGAAGACTCTTCTTTGTGAAAGAGATTTCATAAGCTTCAAATTGGTCAACGGAGGCTAATGCACTATCTCCAAGCTATCGAAGATGAAAGAAACTCTTAAGACTAAAGGATACAAACAGGAACTCCCTTTTTGCTTGGCTTGACCATATAGGGCAGCCCCACTTCCAGTATTGTTGGAAGAAGCGGTGCGGTGTAAGCGAGTCAGTTTAGGAAGCAGTGAAGAAAGCAGAGATCGAATTTAGGGATGCAGTCACGTGCCTTACAACATTAGGGCTTCTAGACTGGTGAAAGGTACGGATTCAGAAGCCGAGAGCAGCAAAGATGGCAATTCCAGCAAAGGAAGAAGCGATCGAGTTGTCGAATTAAAACCGGTCTACTAAGGAAGGCCCTATTGAATTAAGCGAGAGAAAGCTCAATCTCTGGAAGGGAAGAGAACAGCTACTACATCTAGGAAAGTTTCTTTGGATAGAAGGAGGAGTAAGAGAGGAAGGGGTTGGTTGAAAGGAGGATTCCATTTCCTTGTTAACAAATAGGCAAGTATAGCTCGGGTACTCTCTAATCTCTGAGAGAAATGCCGGTTGAAGCTTCCTCCTTGTCTTGAAGGGTATGGATTTGTCTTCCTAGGTCTGGACTCTTAAGAACAAAGGTCATTCCTTTTGTCTTTCCTTAAATACGCGAATGAAAGGCCAATTTTTATCATACCTTCCCCTATGGTGACCAATCAAGAACTAGAGACCTTCTGTCTTGTATCACTATCACCCTGGCTTAAGAGATATAAGGATACGAGAACCACTTGTGAAGCTTTCAATTCCTAGAACTTCATACCCCCGAGTCAAGAGTCATCTCATCTCATTCATCGACGGGAGACAGAACAATCTCAAATCTAAGAGTGGGATGGACAGTCAGCGGTAGGAAGGAGAGGCAGAAGAGATCGTCTTTGTGCGGTGACTCCTTAGTAGCTAATGGAAGCGAAACCTATCTTTACTTGATAAGCACGCTCGCGCTGTAGGACTCGAATTAAATCACTTCAACCGATTACACGTAAGTGTTAAGCATATAGCCAATAGTTTTTTAGCTACTGCCCTTTGCTCTTACAAGAAAGTAAGTAATCTAAATGCCCGCCCTTTCTACGCTAGGATCTATCTCATCTCTTTTATATTAAGTTAAGATATGGTAATTCATCAGAGGAGCTCTTTCTTTGCATCTATCCCCTTCCCTTCTGTCCTGCTCCTCTATTAGATCTACCTGCGGTTTGTCTACGTTCTGATCGGAGATGAAAAGAAGGGTCGTCGTCCCCTTCGCCTTATTTTAAAGCTCACCTATAAATCCCCAAAGTCCTACTAGTTTGAGTTCGCCTGGCACTTTGGTAAGGCCCCAATCTAACTAGATGTTGTTCGATTTCCTGGGGGTTGGCTAGAGAACCTTTTCCCTCACTTGCTGTGCAATGAGTCACGGATAAAGGCTGATTTTATAGGCGCTTTAGTTGAAATGCTTTAGTAATATGAGACAACTCACTTGTAGTCCAAGGAAGTTATGCTCGTGGTGTTGTGATTTTCTTATTTATCAAATCCTTTCTGGTGCGTTAGCTGTTTTTCCTACCACTTCTTGTAAAAGGTCACAAGGGCTACCTGTTTATGAAGAGATACAGGGGACTCTGGCCCAAGCCTTATACTTCCCCACCCTTTTGCACCTTCCTGACTCTATTTCGGACCTGCCAACCAAGAAAAACTATCTATATTTAGTCACTTAACTTAATAGAATATCCCTCTTCGAGTTCGTATTCAATGTCAATTGTAACTTACTCTAATGCCACCTCAACCCTCGATCGTTGAGCATCTAAGAACATCTCCGGCATTATCGAGGGAAAGTCAGATAATCGGAAGAATTTGCCTTCACGCCTATCCCATCGATCGAAACTGGCAACAGATCTTTCAGCGAATGTAGCAGCGCATGATATCAGCTGTGTTCCACTCCTGCTACTGGGTAAACTCCAAACCAACACTCGGGAACGGAAGCCAAACTACTTCTTCTTTTTCTATTGATTGACTTGACTAACGGTTGAAATGGAATCTTTTACCGCTGGATCAGCCGAGAGTTCAAGAGATGAGAATGAGGATTCGGATTCACTTCTTGAAGAGGGAATAGCAGGCGAAAGGCACATCTATGACTTCATACCGAATTTGCCATAGAAGGGCTCGATCGCAGACCTGGGGCGAGAAATGCTTTTGATTGAACGAAGCCAAGGGGCGAACGGGAAATGCTTTAGGGAACAACCAAGTACCATCCGACAGTCTTAAAGAGTGAAAGAAGCTGGTATTCATAAGCGGGACGACAGGTCTAGAAGAGGGGCTTGGGTTTAATTCTTGGGATAAATATCGAGTGAGCCTCTCTTCCTTTTTGGTGTCTCAAAATGGCTAAAGAGAAAAGTACTTGAAAGTCAACCTGAAATAGAACGTATAGAAGCCAGATCTATAAAATGAGGCTACAATCCTCCACTTGGCTTTCTCGGGGAATATTGAAAGAAACCCTCGTTTGATTAATGAATCGATAAGACAAGAAAAATTCCTAGGTTTGAAGCAGACGCCGAAACAAATGCCCGTGGTCTTTTTCATACTCTTGCTGCTTGTCCATAAATGAGCTGATACCGTGAGATTGCTCCAGAGGTAGTACGACGACCCCATGAACAGACAGAAGAGAGAGAGCACAGATAGAAAGCGAACCAATGACATAATCGTATCATGAATCCTACTTTCAGTCCTTATCATGCTAGTATAACAAATACTTATCATAGAACGCACATACTAGGCTTAGAATTGAGGTACTCGTTCAAGCGGTTAGTGTCAACCATTATTGAGAGATATATGACAAGGAATATTTCGAGTTTCTGGTATTAGAACGAAAGGGCATCTTGCAAGACAAGCTCAAAAATCTAATGCTTAAAGATTGGTCGCATTCTAGAGTTCTCTCCTTATAATAACATAAGAGAGGCGGCCTCCCTGACCACACACTTTCAAAGAAGAGAGGGAATGGGCTAACGGCCTACCTTACCTTGGAAGGCTAACTAACAAAGTCACAAAGAGTTGGAATCGAAAGCAGTGGGTACCCTGCATTGATTCCCATAGCGCCGACCGGGGGGTTAGGCAACAGTCGCGACCTACTTTAATTCAAAACAAAAGAAAGGCGAAGGTTTTGGCAACAAGCAAACGACTTTCTATCATAGTTGCAATGGAGCGTCTTCACTAGGATCTTCTTTATTCTTATAGCTTCACTTCGCTCTGCTTCGTTCCTTCCTCCTGCTTACACATCTTCGTTTCCTCTCTCCGCTGGGAACTCTGACTATGGTGTGCTAGCTGGAAATTCTTTCACCACTGATTATGTAATATATCTTCACTACTTGAAGATTACCTGTAATGCAGTATAAAAAAGTGTTGCAGTCGCTTATAAAGAGTTGAATCTTTAACCCGGCATTGCAAGCAAATAGAGAGCCCCCGCCTGTTTG